TAATTTCTTAATGCAATTTAATGCTTATCTGTTGGGCTTCTTGCCTGTCACAGAGGCACGAAATTTCACGACATGGATCTATCTACGTGATGATCGTTTCAACACGCTCGTGTCTTTGCCCGGCACAATGTCCTTTGCCGCCCGTCGAGCTGTGCACAGGAATTAATTTACAACATGTATTGCCATAGCCTTTTGACAGTACTATGCACAGTGGAATTCTGTTACACCTTAACTTTGATTATGAGATAGCTTGCTAGATCTACCTAAATTATTACATGTATTGTTTTGCCTGTTAACCTTCATGAAAAGAACGAAACAAAAAGTTATAAATAGGCGTGTGAGCTTTATTTCAGATATCAGTTTGGCATAAAGGACGTCGTGTCATATCAGGATCATCATCATAATTGAATATTGTAGATTTGAAGATTTGGCACATAAAAACAAATAAATTTGATAAGCACAAAGTATTGGCATTTAGAGAAGTTTATGTGGGTGGTTGGCGGGTGCTCTGGTGTGGTTTGCTTCTTCGATCCTATCAAACATCTATCGTCTTTATCTCCTCTGCTTCTTTTATGTTTGTTACTCTTTTGCAACACCTCTAATCTTCTGACGCTCATAATATGACCTTATGCAGTTGCGAGCGCCGTAAACCCTCCACTAAAACTTTTTTTAAATAGAGAAGTTTCTACTCGAAACGATGATTTGCAACACTAGTGACATTATGCATTATGCTGTTTTGATCCACTGTTTAGTTTAAAGTTAGGTTCGTTGGCAAACTGCAAACATCATTCAAGTGTCCCTTTAAAGCCATCGGAAAGGTTTTCACTCTCTGCTGGTTTACACACCCCTACAATACCAAAACTAGTTTATATTGTAGCAGTTCTCCACTACCGTTTAGCGAGTTGTGCATTCCTTTTTACTATTTTTTAAAATTAACCACAAACCGTAGCCTAGTCTTTTAATTCTATTCAGCGGTAATTCCAAAAGTTGTAACCTGCATTTTATCCATAATATTCTGATATTACAGCTACAAACAGACAAGGAGTATCTCCCAGCCCCACCTTTCTTTTTTCTTTTCTTTTAGTAAGCGTTTTACGAAACTTACAACACAATTCGGCCAATGTAAATGCCGAAAATTAGAAGTGTTACAAGGGAGTAAGAAACACCCCCAAAAATAAAGAGAGATAAGGACGATAATATAATGTGTATGATGAGAAAGAAGGGGCAAACCAGCGTGCACAGCAGAATTTGAGAAATGAGCAGATACGTCTAAAATACATGGACTAATTGGAGGATAAAGTATATATTAACCCCTTCGTAGCCATGTATTTCCCGTACTTTTCACAGTTCTCGCACCAATAGCACAATTGTTTTTCATTTTTTAAAAGCTGGAAACCATCAGATGTCAATCGGGTGGCGTTCCACCTTGTTAAAAAATGAAATCATGCGAATCTGCAGGCGGTGATGTGAAGGGCCAGAATTGGGGCATAAGGAGATAGGTTTGTCCTGTAACGGCATTTCATTCAAAGGAAGAACGACACGTCAACAGCGCCCCTTGTAACAGCTATTCAAAAGTTAGAAAACGCTTTTAACATCTTTTAAATGGTTACTGACTCGTTTCATCACGATGGTTGAGAACTGAACCAATGGGTCATAAAGTCGGTTCATTCTTTTTTTTCCCCCAAGAATTAGATAACTCCTCTTTGACTCATTCCATAACGATGGTTGAGAGCTGAAGCAACGCGTTATAAAATCGGTTCACCCCGTTACATTTATAAATAAA